GTTTTTACTGATTTTTTAGTGAGATAGAAACATCAATGAGAGAAACAAACATCCATTGGCTGCCTCCTGCACACACACCCCCACGTCCCCAGGGACTGAGCCCAAAACCCTGGCATGTGCCCTGACTGGGAATCAAACTGACGACCTCTCGGTACATGGGATGACACTCAACCAACTGAGCCAAACCAGCCAGGGATAGCCAAAACTATCTTGAAAAAGAACAAAGTTGGAGGATTTACATTTCACAATTTAAAACTGCAATACAAAACTTCAGTAATCAAAACTATACAGTACTGTGGAGGATAGATACACAGACCAATAGAACAGAATTGAAAGCCCAGAAATAAATCCATACAGTTATGAGCTATTAACTTTCAACAAGGTTCCAAGACAACTCAATGGGGAAAGAACAGTCTTTTCAACAAACGGAGCTGGGAAAATTGGATATCCACATGCAAAAGAATAAAGTTGGATCCTTATATTACACCATGTATAAAAATTAACTCAAGATGGAAAGACCTAAGTGTAAGAAACAAAACTCTAAAATTCTTGTAAGACAACATAGGAATAATAAATCCCCATGACCTTGACTTAGGCAACAGTTTTGAATATAACACCTAAAGCAACCAAAGATAAAAATCGAAAACTTGATGAATTCATCAAAATTAAACTTTTTTACTTCAAAGGATACTATTAAGAAAATAATGAGCCCTGGCCGGTTTGGCTCAGCGGTTAGAGCGTCGGCCTGCGGTCTGGAGAGACCCGGGTTCGGTTCCCGCTAAGGGCACGTACCTCGATTGTGGTTTGTCCCCGGCCCTGGTTGGTCGTGTGGGTGGCAGCCACTCGATGTGTCCCTTCACATCGATGTTTCTCTCTCTCTCTATTCCTCTCTCTCCCTCCCACTCTACCTGAACAAAAAATGGAAAAATGTCCTCGGGTGAGGATAAAAAAAAAAATTTTTTAAAAAAAGAAAATAATGAGAAAACCATAAAAAGGAGAGCATTTTTACAAATCATATATGTATCTGATAAGAGTCTAGTGTCCAGACTAATTAAAGAACTGTTACAATTCGACAGTTTACAATAAAAAGAAAAATAACTCAAGTAAATAATCGGAAAGAATGAGGACACAGGCTTCAAGCTAAGTGCACAAAGGAGTCTGAGTCCCTAATCTTACTGTTGAACTTCCTCAAAAAGACAATAAACTCATACCTGGGAAAGTTATTGTAGTAGGGTTTTGTTATTTGCAGTTGAATATAATCCTAACTGATAACACCAATTATGGCTAAATTAGGTGATGCTTAGTAGACCGAGATGTGAAAGGTCCTATTGGCTCTACCTTCAAAATTCAGTCTCCTTGCCTCTACCACCATCCTGGCAGAGCCCACCACACCTCACCCGAACACTGCAGGCTTTCTACAGGTCTCCTGCACCTGCCCACACTCCCCTTCACTCTTACTCACTGTAAAATGGAACTCAAGTCCTGCTAGTCCTATGACCAAATGCTCCAATGACTTCCTATCTCACTTAGAATAAATGCCAATGTCTTTATTTCACCCACAAGGAAGGGCCTATAGATTGGTATGGCCCCCTTCTACCTCTCTGACCTCACCTCCTACCAAGAGTCTCCCTCTCACTAATTCAACCAGCCAAATTGACCTCTGTGGTGTTCCCCAAACAGGGTTCTTTGGGCCTGTTTCCGTTCCTGGAATGCCCTCCCTCCACACACCTCAGAGCCATCTCCTTGACTCAGGGTTAGTTATTTTCTCAAAGCCACCACCTCAAAGGACAGCTCACCTAGAATGTCAACACCTTATTAACGCTAACACTGCCTCATCCCCTTCCCTGCTGCTGCTCCTCCTTCATGTGTCACTGTCTACACACTGTATTTCTACCATCTCTCTTGTCCAATACACGTGCCCCTCACTGAAATGAATGCTCCATGAGCGCAGAGCTTTATCTGTTCACTGCTGTAGCCCTGCACCTATTAGAATAGTGCCTGGCACAAACTGGATGTTCAGTGAATATTTACTGATGAGTAAATCATTAAAGTCAGAGAAAAACTAGGTGGGAATCTGAAGGAGAATGAGAAAGTGCCAACAGCAAACGTCAACTGCCGCCCCAGCTCAGGCAATCTCTGCATGCCGCCCCACCCAGGACCCTGCATCCTATATGCCGAGCCAGCCAAGAGCAGGCACTCAGATACTTCAAATGAAGCCCACGCATGGCTGCAACACTACAATTCAGCACAGCAGAGAGCAAGAGCCATAAATAGAACAGATACTTTCTAAATTGCTTTTAGTAAATCTTACTTTGGGGAACAGATTTTTCAGCTGAAGCATCTGAACAGAAATGCTAACATCCAAACGTTTTACTCAAAATTTGTGAATACCTGCTTTTTTAACAGCAAAGTACATAAAAATATGATATTTATGCATTTTGGTTAAAAGAACTATAATTAAGCCTAATGCAGCTGATCTCAGAGCATACTAAGAACCTTTAAAAGTTACTATATTGTGCCGGTCGGTGTGGCTCAGTGCTTAAACATCAACTCATACACCAAAAGGTTGTTGGTTCAATTCCCGGTCAAAGCACATGCCCAGGTTGTGAGCCAGATCCCCACTAAGGGGCATGCAGGAGGCGGCCAGTTGATGTTCTCTCACCGATGTTTCTATCTCTCTCCCTCTCCCTTCCTCTCTCTCTAAAATCAATAAAGAAAAAAAATTTTAGGTGACTATGTTGAAATACTTTTGTTTTTAAATAATCTGCACTCGCCAGTGTGCTCAATGGTTACAGCATCGGCCCATGCACCGAAGTGTCATGGGTTCAACTCCCAGGAGGTCAAGGGCACCTATCTGGGTTGCAGGTTCAATCCCAGTCCTGGTCAGGGCACATGTGGGAGGCAACCAATCGATGTCTCTCTCTCATATCAACGCCCCCCCCTTCCCCTCTCCCTCCCTTCCACTCTCTCTAAAAATCAATGGAAAAAATATCCCCAGGTGAGAATTAACAAAAGATAATCATTAACAAATAGTTTTTTTTTTATCCTCACTCGAAGACATTTTTGCATTTATCTTCAGATAGGGAGGGAGAGATGGAGGAAGAGAGAGAGAAACATGGACATGAGAGAGAAACATGGACATGAGAGAGAAACATGGACGTGAGAGAGACGTCGACTGGCTGCCACCCACACAATCCCAACTGGGTCTAGGGACAAACTGCAACGAGGTACGTGCCCTTAGCGGGAACCGAACCTAGGACTCTCTGGTCTGCGAGCCAGTGCTCTAACTGCTGAGCCAAACCGGCCAAGGCAACAAAGTTTTAAATCTATCTTCATATATGCACAGATTATATCAGGAGGAATTCGCAGGAGAAAGTATGACAGTGCTTGCCTCTGGGAACGGAGTTAGGCACTAGGGAGAAAAGAGTGGGAGAGAAGTTTTTAATTATTACTCTTGGAATTTACATCATATCAGTGTATTACTTATGCAAAAATAAATAGATTAAAATTTTTAAATAAGTTAATTATACATTACCTTAAAAAAAAGTAATGAAACAGTATCTACTTTGTCAAGGGGCTTTAGAAGGAAATCCCTTTATACTCATATTTTGAAGATAAGCAAATTCAGCAGGCTCGGTCAAATCAGCGTGAGAACCAGAAAGCTTATTTTAAGATTGACAGTGCCTGACCATCCACCAGGGGCAGCAGTAAGATGTTGCTTCCCACCCAAAGTCCCTAGTGCTTCCCTGTTAACACAGGAGCCACAAAGTGTGAACTGACATGTACCTCCTGGAGAGGCACTACAGTAAGTGTGGAACAGTTACGATTATACATCACTCACGGTGATCTGTATTAGTAATACAAATTGTTTTATTTTTTCTCTAAGTATCCAAACAGGTTTCTCACCTCTTAGAACAACAAATAATTTATTTCTAGATTTTATTCTAACAGATACGCCGACATCACTCCCCTAATCCACATTTTCTAACTCAACTGTCAGGACACAGCAAGGACCCTATCAGACACATAAAGAACAAGAAAGCGTTACGAAAAGAGACTCCGTCTTAACAGAGTGAGCTTCTCACAAGGGCGGCTTCTTGAAAACTGTCCTTATGAAATCCCATCCTGCACACCTGCCGATCAAAGGTGGACTAAGGTGCCCCGGAGGAGACGGGTCCGCGGCGGCAGCGCATCCCGGGCCTCGGAGCGGGGCCAGGACGTCGCCATGGAGACAGGAGCCGCCGCGGGTCGCAGACGCGCAGGTCCCGGCACCCGCAGCGGGCGGCTCCCCCCGAGCAGCGGGCCGCCGTCCTTTCCAGGTGAAGGCTGGACCCGCGTCAGCCCTGGCCCCCTCTCCCAGCCCTCGCACCACCTCCCCTTGCTAATACGGACCGGCTAAGGAGGTCACCACTGACTCCGCAACCGGAACTCCTTCAAGTGCGCGCAGACCTCACTTGAACGGAGACCGCGGCCCCTTCCTGTGCGTGAACCCCGAACGCAAGGAATGCCCGAGGAGGGGACACGCCTCGAGCGGCGCCGCGGCCAGGCCGCCAGCCCCCCGCGCCCGCCACGGGCATGACGTCATGCACACCCCCCGGCGCGCAGCTCCCGCCCCGCCTCCTCGGCCAGCGTCGGGCGCCCCCGGCCCCGGCCGCTCGGACCACGAGGACCGGGGAGGGAAGTGGCCCGGAGGGCGCCACTCGGGACGCGGAATCGGCTCTGCCCGGTGCTGTTCACAGCACCGCCCGGATTCTGGCGAACACAGAGCGGCAAGTTCCTTCCCCAACTCTGCCCGTCGGGAACGGCCGGGGCTGGGGCCGGGGCCGCCCCGGCGCGGTCAGGAGACGCTTCGTGCCGGCCCGCGAGGCCGGAGACCCACGCGAGCGGCCGGGGGTCCCGCAGCGGGAGGGCGGGGGCGCCCCCGCGGGAGGCCGGGTGCGGCGGGCCCAGGTCTGCAGGGACAGCGCTCCCCCCGCCGCCGCCTGGCGGAGAGCACTCACGGTCGGTGCGGCGGCTCCTCGGCCACGGCCGAGCCCGGCGGCGGCGGCGGCAGCGGGGGCGGCGGCGGCGGCTGCGGCGGCAGCGGCGGCTGAGCCTGAGGCGGCGGCGGCGGCGGCTGAGGGGGCTGAGGTGGCGGCGGCGGCGGCGGCGGCTGCTGCTGTTGCTGCTGCTGGAAGGACTTGAGGGACTCGAAGGCCTTCATCAGCTTCTCCAGGGTCGCCATGGCGGTCTCCCGCCCCGCGAGGACAGGGCTCGGAGCCCTCGGGCCGGCTCGCAGCGCCGCTCAGTAGCGCGGCAATGAATGGGGTTCTGGGCCGCGGGCAAAAGCGGATCCGAGGCGCCCGGCCATCTTGGACCCGTCCCGGCAGCCCCCGCGGCCCTGCGTCCCGCGACGCTTCGCCGTCGGGGCGGGGCCAGGCCGGGCCGCCGGGATTGACAGCAAGAGGCGGCCTCTACCAATGGCCAACCGCGGTGCCGGTTGTCTTCAAGAGCTGTCGCAGCCACTGAGATAACAGCGTCCCATCCGGGCGAGGAAGCGCGGCGCTGAGGGGCGGGACCTGGCGGTGAGGGGCGGGGCATGAGGGGCGGGACCTGGTGGTGAGGGCGGGGCACTACGGGGAGGGGGCGGGCAGGGTCTGTGGGCGGGACTTGGCGGCGAGGGCGGGGCACCAGCGGAGGGGCGTGGCCTAGATGTGAGGGCGGGGCGGGGCGGGGCGGGGCTGAGGAGAGGCCTCGAACCCGCGGGGCCTGCCTGCCCACTCGCGGCCCCAGCCTGGGCTGGGAGCGCGGCCGCCCGACTACCCTGCAAGTCGGGCTCTCCCGGCACAGGTCGTAGGTGGGCGGAGACCTGCGGGATCGGGCCTTCGCGTGGGCAGGGAGCCCAGGCCTGGCCCCCCGAGAGGAGAAGGGCACGGGGGGCGGGCGCCAGCCGGCGGCGTCTCCCTGAGTCTGCAGCTGGAGGGGAGGCGGGTCCGGAGGGGAGCGCGGATGGTGAAACCTGCCCGGGCGGTGCCGGCTGCCCGCGGGTCTGGGGCTGTGCGGCAGGGTCAGCCCCCCGCAGGAGCGACTGTCCGACGCCAGGGCGTCCCCTCCGGGCAAGAGGACTCCGGCCCCTCCCGGGGCTGTGGGCACCTCCTGCCTGGGGCGCGGCAGGCGGCACGAAAGGGTCGGGGCTCAGGCCACGGAGGAAGGTGGAGGCGCCCACCGGGAGCTGGCCGCCTTCGGGGCAGGGAGCGGGCTGCCCGGAGAGAACCGGCGGGGTGGAGGAGAGGCCACGCATGCAGTAGAGCCCCCCAGAGCCCGCCCAGGGCAGAGCCACGAGCCGCGTCTCCACCCTCTCCGGGGGCCTCAAGTGCCCCAAGCGATCAGGTCAAAGGAAACCCAGCATCCCCTCCGGAAACCTTGTCCCCAAGGGGATAGCAATCGCCTTGCTTCGAGGGAAGGACCACGTGGGCCAGCCTTGAGGTCCCAGTTCCCGGATGTTAAGAAAGGCCCTTATCCGCGTGCCAGCCCCCAGGAGGCCATGGCGGTGGCAGCTCCAGGTGCCGTGGTTGCAGACTTGGGAGATGGCTCAGCGACCTCTCCTAGCCCATGCCCTGCATAGGGCCCTTCCTTTGAGTGTGGGCTGTCCTCTGGTGGCGTGCCTGGGACTGGGCCATGCAGGACGGAGGCTTCCAGCTTGCTGCCGGCTGCCTTCTTGGCTTGCATGTGTTCATGAAGCCAGCTGCCCTGTTGGAGAGGCCCACGGGGCCATGGTGAGCAGCAGAGACTTTCACTGCAACAGCCCGCGAAGAGCTGAAGCCTGCCAACGCCACGTGAGCTTGGAAGCAGCTCTTGCCAGGTAGAGCTTTCCGGTGAGAGGCAGCTGGTATTTGACTGTAGGCTTTTGGGAGACCGGAAAGCAGAGGACCCGGTTAAGCTGTGCCCAGATTCCTGACCCGCAGCAACTCTGAGAACCTACGTGTGTGTTGTTAGCCACAGTCTGATGGCTTGCACAGCAATAGATAAATGTGTTAGTGCGCTAGGGCTCCTATAACAAGGGACCACAGACTGAGGGCTCAACAACAGAAACCTATCTTCTCTTAGTCCCAGAGGCTGGAAGCCCAAGGCCAAGGTGTGGGCAGGGTTGTTTCTCCTGAGGCCTCTCTCCTTGGTGTGTAGATGGCCATCTTCTCCCTGTGTCCTCGCATGGTCTTCCTCTGTGTGTGTCTGAATCCGAATCCCCTCTTCTTATAAGGACACCAGTCTGATTGGATTAGGACCTACCTATATGACATCATTTTACCTCTTTAAAGTCCCCATCTCCAGATACAGTCACATCCTCAAGTGCTAGAGATGAGGACTCAACATGAATTTTGAGGGGGGCACATTTCTGACCGTCTTCAGTAATAGGGCCTCAGTTTTCATCTGGGCCCTTTCCCACTTAGTTAAAGTACTACAGTGCCCATCCATTCCTTCAAGCAGGCTGTAGCCATGTGAGTAGAGAAGTTCTAGCTGATGAGATATGAGCAGAGTCAATGCGTGTGCTAGAAAGTCTCCTGCTGCCTGAGATGGGGATGTAGTGATTGGCACTTGAGTGGTTGTTTTGGGTCATGAGGTTGAACACCACATCCTGGGATGCTGGAGCTGGAAGGACCAGGGCCCAGTCGACTGGGTGATGCCATGCCAGCCTGGCCTGCCCATTTCATTAAAATCTGGGAGAATTCTAATTCTGTGTTGTTTAAGCCACTGTTAACTTTGCATTATTTTGTGTATATGCTTCTGAACCAAATTCCAATCAGTGCAGAAAGGTCCTGGGTCACTGAGGCCTTACATCACCACAACAGATCGTGACTGCTGCAGCCCCGGCAGAGAGAGTTATCTGCCCAAAACTTAGTGTAATCCTGAAAAGAATTTTTACAAAGAAGCCTTACAGAAAGGGACTGTCAACAAGGCAGACTTTCTCATTTCAGAGAAAAGCTTGGCATAGTTCAAAACCAGCAAGGATGAACTAACACAGCTGGGCGGGCAGTGTGGCATGGTATCTCCGAAGCCTTCACAATGGGCACAGTCCCTGAACAGCAGACACTTCCAGTAATTTATCCTAGGAGAACAAGTGTGTATGTGTGTGAGGATGGTCACCACTTACAGCAACATTAAGGACAAAAAACGAAAACACTTAAGTGCTGGACAGGAGGCGGGCTAAGTGAATCGTGATAAATCTGCATGACAGAACACCGTGCAGTCAATTTTAGAAGAGTGCTCATGCCCCAGGAAAAGGTTTACAAGGCTTTAGGTGATTGCACTATTATGTTAGCATGATCCCGCCTCTCTTTTAAATTTTTTTTCTTTATTGATTTTAGAGAGAGAGGAAGGGAGAGGGAGAGAGAGATAGAAACATCGATGAGAGAGAACATCGACCGGCCGCCTCCTGCGTGCCCCCCACTGGGGATCGGGCCCATAATCTGGGCATGTGTCCTGACCGGGAATCGAACTGGCGACCTCTTGGTGCAGGGTTGACGCCCAACCACTGAGCCACACCAGCTGGGCCTGCCTCTCTTTTTAAACAAAGAAAAAACACACACACACAAAAGAAACCTAGTCACCAGGGTTATAACAGTAACTCTCTGGCAGGGCAAGTAGGTCTTTTATATCTTCATTTATGTCATTTTCTACAGGTTTCAAATCTTAACACTGAATGTGTACTATTCGGGGTGGGGGGACATAAAAGAATAGGTTTTGGTGGGGAGCTAAAAATGAAAGCCTGATACTTATGACTGATCCTGCCCAGGAGGAAAGACATATTTAAAGTAGCCTGACACACCACCCCAACAAATGGGGTGCACTCCAGCTGGGCATCTGGCATCGGCCCTGAATGCAAGACCAGATGGGAGTCTGCGGGTGAGGCCTGGGCCAGCGAAAGGAGGTGTGACGCAGAGCCGGGGGGGACCAGTGACTGGGCCAGCCACTCCTCGGGGCACTTTTGTGCTATTCCACCCATCCCCCTGGGGGTTCCTCCCATTGTAGATTGTATTATTGCCATGTGTTTAAATTCTACAGAAATACACACCCCCACTGCAAAAGACATAGACACAGTTATCGTTTTGAGCCGTTAACATTTATTTAAATTGATTCCCATATTTTCCATTTTTATTTCTCTTCATTCCTTCCTACCTCTGATCTTCCATCTGGGATCATTTTCTCCTGCCTGGAAAACACCCTTTAGAATTTCTCTTAGAGTGGATCTTCTGTTGCTGAGATCTCTCTGTTTCCGTGTATCTGAAAATGCCATTATTTTGCCTCCATTCTCAATGGACTTTCGGTTGGGTATGGAGTTCAAGGTTGGCAGACGATTCCTGTCAGTAGATCAAAGACCTGAACATCACTGTCTTCCACTCCTCATTCTTGCTGTACAGAAGTCAGTCGTTGCTCCTTTTAGTGTAATGGGTTTTTCCTCCCTCTGGCTGCTTTTAGGATTTTCTGTCTGCGGTTCTCTGTCGCTCCACTGTCCGTGTCGGGGAGGAGAGACAGACCGGCTGCAGTTCTGGAATGCAGGTTCCCCAGGGGAAAGCTGTGGGGATGAGGATGTTCTTTTCACCAGCAAAGCCCCTCCCCACACCTGACACCTGCCGTTGCTGCATGATTGGCCCAGTGACCCCTATTCCCTTCCAATTCCCTGTAAATACAGAACGACAGGGTCCCACTACCTACGGGGTGACAGCTGGGCCCGGAGCCAACAACTGTACGAGATGACAGGAGTGGGATACAGGTGCTTCTGATGACCCTCTGCCTCTAAGGTTCCCTGCTGTCATTCTGCGCTTGCTTGGGACTTCCTTTCATTTAATCTGTTCGAATTAGTTGGGTTTGGAATTTGTGGATGGATGGTTTTCATGTTTTGGAAACCTCTGAGTCATTATCTCCAGATAGTGCTTCTGTCTCCTCCCTCTCTTCCTACTGTTTCAGATGTCACCAGGAAGGGACCTTCTGAGGCGGGTCTGCCCTGGCAGGGCCTGGGACGTGGGTGTTCTACTTCCTGCAGGAAGAATTCAAGACACGATCCAGGTGATTGTCAGAGTCCATTCATTAAAGCCGGGGCAGCGAGGCAGGAAGGGTTAGGACAGAAGAGGCGAGATCACAGCAACAGGAATGAGCCCAGGCAAGGCCACTAGGCTCAGAGGAAAGTCACCGCGCAGGGCCCTCGGAGACAGGATCAGGGGGAGCCTGGGACGAGCTGGCGCCGCCCACTGCTCCCCTGCTCAC